CACTCTACCTTCAGTAGCATGGTCAGTTCCGGCTCTCTTGTATTTTCACAAGTTGGAATCTATAATACATGGAGTCTTGCGTTTGGGAAACCATCCTGATGACTCAGGACACACCACGAGGTTTCTCATGAAGAGTGCTGATCTATTCTGTCTGGGCATTAGCGATAGGGTGGGAATGGGGATTGAGACTGGGTGGGGAAGATGGGGGAGGCTGCAGCAGGGATGTAAAATAAATAGAAAAGATTCCTGATTTCTTTTTTTTTAAGTTACTTCAAAATCATGAATTTCTTTTTATTTTATTATTTTAATTTTAAATAGCTTGTTTCACATGTCAATCCCAGTTCCCTCTCCCTCCCCTCCTCCCACAGCCCCCCCAAACATCCCCCCACCCTCCCACCCTATCACCACTTCCTTCCACATAGGGGATATCTAGAGTCTGTCATTTCACTCAGGGCAGGGTCTAGGCACTCCCCTAAGAGTCCAGGCTGAGAGAGCATCCCTCTTTGTGTTATAGACATACAAAGTCTGTTTGTATGCCAGGGATAAACACTAATCCACTGCCCAGGGCCCCATATATTGTCCAGGCCTCCTCACTGACTCTCACATTCAGGGGTTCTGGATCAGTCCCATGCTGGCCTCCCAGCTGTCATCTGGGGTCCAAGAGGTCTCCCCTGTTCAGATCAGCTGTCTCTGAGTCCACTCTTTGCCAATTTGCTCATCGCTCCTCTCTCTCTGTCACTCGGTTCTTTAGCAATTGCAACAAACCTTTCAGCAACCACCCTTCTTGTCTGAAACTTTTAACTTGTTAATAGCCCTCTCCTTACCAAACTGTACATTTTTCATAACTTCCTGCTTCATACTCTGCCCTCTCAGATTCTTTGCCAGAATATAACATGAATGGACCCCACCTGGTTCCTGACAGAATCCTTACTGTCTTCTGAAAAACATGAGTTGGGTCCCCATTTTCCACATTTCTCTTGGGATTCAAGCACCTGTTAGAATGGCCAGATCATTCTCTGCTTACTACAGCCTAGGGCTTCTCTAGCCCATAGACCTCTCTCACACATCCACCCCCAAAAAGTTTCAGGAGCCTAAAAGTACATGATCAGGTTTATCACAGTAATGACCCCACTCAGTGGCATTTTCCACTGCTATAATCAGATACCAGATAAAAGAATTTGCAGGAGGAATTAGTGAGAGAGGTTCTACCTGTGGTGGCAATGGTCTGGCAGCCAGTAATATCTCACCAGCAGGCAGGAAGCAGAGAGAAGTAGAACTTGTTTCTCCTCTTTATTTGCTCTGGGGTCCCTGTGCATGGAATAGTACTGGTCACCTTCCTGGATAATCTTCCCACTTAATTTTCATATCCCTATGAGAATGATATTTAAACTCCACTTTACATGTGAGAAAAATCAAAAATAATAATATTTAGAGGGAAAAATAATTTTCCAAGACATTGGATAGTAAATGAAAGAGCTAGGTCTTTATTTAAGAAAGGGTTTCTTTACAAAAAAAGATGTTTTTCCTGTCCACTTGACAAAACTCTTTGAAATATATTATTACCCTTTACTCTTATTTCTAACTACATACAAGTCACAATTACAATTCATAAAATTAAATTTGTTTACAATTTAAAAATTCAACTATTACACAATTTCAAGCCAATATTTACAATGAATAAAAGTATTTGTAATTAAACATCATTTCATAGCTTTCTTTGGATGGGTACATCCATTTCCTTTATTTTTTAAATATTTCTTTCACATTTTGTAGATTACAATATAATTAATCATTTCCCCCTTTCTTTTCCTCCCTCTAAACATTCCCATATGCGCTTCTTTGCTCCTTCAAATTTATGACTTCCTGTTTCATTCGTTGTTGTCACATACATATGTCTATGTCTATATGTATACACACAAACATATTCCTAAATATAATTATCTAAGTATGTATAATTTTACTTGTATGTAACCATTTGATATGGATAAGCAACTGGTGTGTTCTTCCTTGGCAAGACTATTTTGCCCACTCTCAGCATTCCTTAGTTTCCTGTAGTCCTTTGTGTATGTATGGTTAAGGCCTCATAAGATTTATCTACATCTGTAACACATTTATTAGTGTCATCATTGCCTATATCATGTTTAGACAGCCATATTCATAAGACTTTATGAATGTAGCGTCTGATATTTCTAGGAGATACAATCTCATGGCAAATTCCTTGATCCTCTAGCTCTTACATGTTGCCACCCCTCCTAGGCAATGAGCCATAGGAGTGGAAGATGTATTGCCTTTATTTTTGTTTTCTCTTTCTTCCCTTAGGTTTTTTTATTTGCCTGTTTGTTTTCTTTTATAATTATTTTTCTGTCATTGCAGTAACTCTGTAAAGGAGGCTATGACAAACTCATGAACATCCATAGTCTATGCCTGTATTTCCCTGAACTAGATGAATAAACAAACTCCAAAAACAAAGAAAAGGTACCGGTCCACACCTTCTTAGATCATCAGCTTCAGGTTGCTGCTGGGTTTTCTTTTTATTTTTACTCATAATGTTTTGATGAGATCCACTGAATGAGTCATCCTTCTGTCTAAGCCAACACAGTAGGTATTATCCGATAAATATTCCAACACTTAAGAATAACTGACTTAGAGATGCTCTTTTAATCACAATCTCTCTCTTTCACTCTCATCAGACAAAAATACCAGTGTCAATATCTCGTATGGGGGGGTTCATCTTCTTCAAGCTAAATGACCTCTACTAGCTCCTTGAAGGCTGTGTCAATCAACCTGGCAGGTTGCTTTGGGAATACACAACTGCTGGGATAAAACCAAGCTTACTGGTGAGTTAATTCTTATGCTTTATGTATAATACAATTCTATATTTCCCTATTCTTTTTGATTAAGAATAAGACAATCCTTTAAGAATGGAATAAACCAAGGTTTATCCTGCCACTCCTTGTGGATCTGAAGATTAAGAGTCAACACCTTTGAAACTAGTTCCTATTATGAACAATGACTTGGTCTCATCAGCCCTAATTTCAGCCCCACCTCCCTTTCTGTGTTGAGCTCATTGTCAGCAGGCAGGAAGTCACTTTCAGAATGAATACAGTTTCCCCCATGCCACTCCCTTGAGTCATTTTCAAGCTGTGTTGTGAGGGATGTAACTGATAATAGCAGTAAATGTATGCCACAATAGTAAGATATTGAATATTCAAACAGTTTGTGTTAACTAAGCACCTATTTGGTAAAAAAAATAAACTATTGATAAATATTCTAGGAATTCAAGGATGTAGGAGAAAGAGCTGCCTTCTAGGAGAAATTATTGTAAACAAAAACAGCAGTTCAAATCCTAGAGGCTGAGGCAGGAGGATAACTGTTAGTTCAAAGACAACATTTACATTCATTTGGTCCAATGTGACTTCTCAAAGATTTTAAGTCAAAATAAGTAGTCAAGCAAAGTAGAAATATTATATTCGTGAAGGTAGCATTGTAAGAATCATCTGTAGTAGAAAAAAAACAGAAAATACTCAAAACACTCCACATTAGAAGAGCAGTTTCACTATTTTATGATAAATCTACTCAGGATAATGTGATTCATTTTTATAATATAAACATTAAATTGTCAGTAGCTGATAAATATATGTACTATTTATTGAGTTTGAAATTTTATTAAAATAAGTTAGAAATATAAGATACTCTATATAGATATTAGAAATCAGAATATTCTCCTGAAATAAATAATAAATAAATAATAAATAATAAATAAAATTATAAATTATTATGCAGATACAGTCCAATATGTTGAAGAACTCTGTAATTGAGTAACTTGAATTTAACAAGTAAATGGAAAGTTTTCAGGTAATATGTTTAATTTTTAAAATGCATTTCATTTATTTTATTGAAAATACTAAATGTAGAATCAGGCATACGATAGAGGGTCTAAAGATGAATTTATAAAGAGTGAAGGGGGACCACTTAGTCCTGGCAATGTCATCTAGATTGCACATTCTATTTTAAAACATGTAACTGATCAGTCACTTGATAGATTGAATCCCTGTGGTAATTTCACTGACCATTGCCTAGCAATTACATATAAGATAAAGTCAAGAACCTTCTCTAAGAAACTCTTCAGCTTTCCATTTCTCACGGGCACATAGAAACTCATCAACAAAAGCATTTTGGTTTTTGCCCTTTTCTTTTTGGTACTAGCCACTGAACCTAGGACCTCATGCATGAGAAGTAAGTGCCTTACCAGGGACTTATACACCCAGACAAGCTTCCCCTCTGCCTCAGGTCACACAAGTGGTTGGTGAAAAGGCTAAGACTGGAATTCAAATTTTAATACCAGTCTGATTGTATTGCATTTCAATTCATCAGCATTCGTTATTTCCTAGGAAGTAATTCCAGAATAGCCATCCAACTTTGCCAATGTATTAGACAGAAATGCCCTTTGCACACCATTCTTGCCTCTGAGTTTTCTCAGGCTCTGTTCCCGCCTGCAAGCACTACTCCTAATCTTACATTCTTCCCCTAATCTTCCACTCATGTATACCTTCCTTTTCCACTTATTTATCTCCTAGTATCATTGGGCTAGGATGCTTCCTCAGAAGACAGTATTTGGAGCAGGAGTAGGTGTGTTTCAAATTCAACTTCTATGTTCACCTATCCCATAACCCTGTGTCCTGTCTGCTCAAGCCCTTCTCTGTATTTGTTTTACATATTAAGAGGGGGGAAAGTATTTGATAACAGAGAAAATCATATTCAGAAGTGATGCCTGTCAATCCATAATTCTGATAATTCTTGGTTTTCTATACCGAGGAGGATGGGCCACTTCTGCATTTTATCATAAGCAGAAGCGGCCCCTCCTACTAAATAAACACAACTGTGTGACATGTGAAGTGGTCACAGGATTGCGAAAGTGTGCCACCTGTAATCATGTTTATTCATAACTTACCAGAATAAATGGGATTGTTTCTGATTTGTGGGTTTCCCAGTCTCTAATTCTGGTCCACAAGTCACAGTGTTGGTTCAAGTTCAGTCTTTCAGACTTGTTTTGCAAGTTAGGTTTTAATTACATGGGATTTCCTCCTTTGGCTTCAGATACACATAGCACAAAAGAGTCACTCAATTGAGTGGGAATCTCAAAGCATCTGGACACACAGAAGAAAGGACCTCGCCATTACTCAGGAGTAAAATGTATAGGTAAGAAAGACCTACTTTGGCCTCTGTAGCTTTACAACTTTTACTGTATCTTAAAGCAAGTAAAATGCATAGATGCATAAGAAATTTGGGCTGTATAAAGCAATTACAGCCACATCTGTGAAAACTTCAGTGAAACTGTTGGAGACTGTTTAAATAATGTATCTGATGTCATTTAGATAGCATGCTTGGCTGCTTCTCTGTTTGGGGGGCTTTTTCCAAACCAAATTACTACACCTAAAGATGTAGGTTTAGCATTACTACATTCACTTTAAAGAAGGAAGTATTTTGTTTGTCATGTTTCAGTTTTTCAAAAACTAAACTGTGAATATTAAAATTTCATCAGAAAAAACTTACTCTGTTGCTTTAGAATTTTTTGAAAATTAATATTTTGATGTCTACCAGTGTCATCACTGACTAGAAAATATTACATCATATCCAAGGTCTTTATTCTAAGAAGGTAAAGGCAAGATTTGTCTATATTTTATGCAACAACTATATTTCTATTTTTAGTAAGTATTGCTATTATTTAAGAAAACTGTCACTGCTTCAATGTTCCTTTTGGTTTATGAAAAATTATTTTCATAAGCTTTTATACAAAAAACAAGTTGTCTCATAACCTGCCATCAGACAATATTTTATTAACAAACTTAGTTAATACAATGAGAATCCTTTCAAAAGTTTATGTATTGTACATGTTGCTTTTCTGCCAGCACAGAAGAAAAGACAGATCACCTTAACTGGCAGGCTATGCTAAAAGAAGGATCAATTAAATCAAGGGTACTATATAAGTGCAGTTGAATTTTTCTGTAGTCTTTAGAACTTTAGAAATAGAAGAACCAAAAATCAAACCACATTGAATAACAAAAACTGATGTACAGATATATCTATTTGAGCATACCTGTTGATCCATGGGAAATAGGTGGCAATCTACATTTCAAACAATAGGATAAAAATAAATTATTTCATACTTTTCCTGGAATTTTGTTTTCCACAGACTGTACTTTTGACTACATTTTGTCTCCTAAACAAGCTTTGTCTACTGCACTTACCTTTCTCTTTTTTGTTAACATGAAATATCTACAATCAATAGTTATGTAAAGCTGATGAAATTCTGAAGTTTGAGAGAGCATGACTGAGAAAGAGGGCACTCCATCAGACTGACTGAAGCTTGGAACTTCCAGGGTGTGGGGTTGGGGAAAGGATTCAAACAGCCTAGGGAGATTTTTTTAAATTAAATTCCTGTTTCCCAATTCTTCCAAATACTCTGAGAGATCAGTGCATCAAGTCAGGTGGATAAAAGGGGACAGATTTCTATAATATAGTTTTAACTAATTCCATGCAATTTTTACCTAAATTTAGATGTGTCTTTAGTTAATTCTGAAATATTTTTGTTTGACAGTGGGATTTCTTGGCAGATTTGCTTGCTCCCCTATACAAATTACAGTCTCAGATTTCATCCAAATTGCCCTCTCCTGAAGGTTGCACAGGCAATTTATTCCTTTCTTTGTTTATGTTCTTGTCTCTGAGGACAGAGAATCTGGTAAAGGCCCTAGAACATAAACAGCCATATTGTGAACTAATTGTTACTTGTTTAAGTTCTGTGGTTTTTCATAACTTCTTAGGACCACCCAGAGTATTCATACCCACCAGATATCATAAAAATCACAAGATGAAAATGAGCTTTAGAAAACAGGTTGAGATTTAGAAGGCAACATTCAGAGAACAGTTTGAAGAAAGATTTAAGGTAAATAATCATCCTATGAACAGACAAGTCTAGGCAGAAACTATTTTTATAACAAAACATGTTTCTATCTTTTCTTTTGTCACTATTTATGACACAATTTGCTGAATACTGAGACATGCCAAAGCTAATCAGATGTTTTACATGGTAATAAGAGCCTGAAAGAACATGATATAAATTGAAAATATGCTCCATCAGGACCCAAAACACATATTTTGCACCTTGTCTATTGTTTCCACTCTGGTTTCTGGATTGTTGTTTTAGCTTGCAAAGTCCATGCTTAACTTTATGAATCATTAGGCAAAGGATATATTGCTTTATGAAAATTAAGTAGGTAGGTACCAATACTTCTGTGTAATCATGGAGACTATCTAATGTTGGTATAGTGGTGATGTCATTATGAGACATAGAAACATCAGCTCCAATTCATTGTCCAGGATTAGATATTTTACAGCAAATTATTTCCTATCTATTGCAAATATGACCACCAGAAACCACTCCCAAGGTATTTCTTTAAAATTTCATACTTTTCCCTTAAACTTAAGCTGCTCTGTAACCCATAAACTCTGTGGTTGTTTTCTCTAGAGTAAGTCTGCCTAACTTTCACATTTCAAGGAGTTAAGACATGTAAGCTTTGTTCTTTGCAGGAACATCATTGTCAGTATAAAGATATACAGAAGTAACTTCAATTACAAAAATCCTTCCCTCCTCCAACATTTCTGTTTCAAACAAATCTCTCCATTTCTCATCTCCCCTACCCTTAGTAGCAAAACTCTTCTAAAATTATGTAGATATATGTGTCTATCTCATTTTCCTTCTCTCATTCTTTTTGCTTTTTAATTTTGTTATTAAAGACATCATTATGAACTATAACACACATAAAGTCCAATTAAAGATAAATACAGACAATGACAATGTACTAGATATGCCATATAGTAAAAAAACTAGAAAAGCATTTGAATGTTTTTACCATAGGAGAACACAAAATAATTGAGAATATATATGTTTTAGCATGATTTAAAGACATGATAATATATAAAAGTAACGAAATATCACATGGTAGCCTATAATCAAATGTACTTTTCTCCTTGTATATTTGTTAAAATAAAAATAAACAAATAATAACCAGACACAAAAATGAACTATTCTACTTTTAAAGTTTAATTTAATCCAAAAAAATTAACATACATTTTTGATCATATTCTTTCACCTTTCTACTCACTAAACTTCTTGCTCTCTTTCTCTCAAAAACACCAACAAAACAAATAAGAAATGTCAAAAACAAACAAACAAACAAACAAAAGCCAGTAAGACAAAAGTATAAAAACAAAAACACACACACAGAAACTATGGAATCTGTTTTGTGTTATCCAACTTCTCCCTAGGCATGGAACCTAGCCTGAAGTGTTGTTGACATACCCAGAGACACTTCATTTGAAGAAACTGATGTTCCCTTTCCCAGGGTATACCAACTACAAATAGTTTCCTGGCTAGAGGTGGGACTTTGTGTCCACCTCCCTTGCTGGGGTTCATCTGGTTTCAGTTGTCCAGGTCTTGTGCATGCTGTCACAGTCTGTGAATTCAAGTGCATCAGCCTTGATGTGTCTGGAAGACACAGTGTTTTGGAGTCACCCATCACTTCTGGCTCTAACCATCCCTTTGCCTCCTCTTCTGCATAGATCTCTGAGCCTTGAAGAAAAGGATTTGATAAAAACATCTTATCTAGGGATGAGTGCTCCAAAGTTAAAAGTAACTATTTTTTTGTAAAAAACCCTTAGCATCTTAGCTACATTCAAAATATGCAAGGAATATTTATTCAACAGGTAAACAGATAAATTCAACATAGTATTTATAACACAAACTTACTATTTAGCAGTTTACGCAAATAAATAATACCTCAGAAAAGCTACATAATGGCAATATAAAGGGCATTGCTTTGGTTTATTTCAAAAAGTAATAAAACATACTTATTTTTTTTACTTTTTAAACATTTTTTATGATTTTTTTATTCTTTTTTTTAAATTTAGATAAGAAACAAGGTTGCTTCACAAGTCAGTTCCAGGTCCCTCTCCTTTTCCCTCCCCTCCTCCCGTGCCCTCCCCCCATTCCCCCCCCGTTATCCCCTCTTTCGCCCAGGGAGGGTGAGGCCCTCCGTGGGGGTGTCCATAGTCTGTCATTTCATATAGGGCAGGGCCTAGACCCTTCCCCAAGAGTTCAGGGTGAGCGTGCACCTCACATTGTTCTATGGGAGTCCAAAGTCCGTGTGTATACTTGGTATGGGTACTGATCTGCTGCCCAAGGCTCAATAGATTACCTAGGCCTCCTCACTGACACCCAGATTCAGGGGGTCTTGATCAGTCCCATGCTGGATTCCCAGGCTGATGCCTGGGATCAAGAGTTAACCTTTGTCTGGTCAGCTGTTTCTGGGGGTTAAACCAGCCCAGTCTTAATCCCTTTGATTATCAGTCCTCCCTCTCTGATACTGGCTTTCTTGAGTTCAGCTCAGTACTTAACCAGGCACTAAATGTAGTTTCTGTTTCCCAGACTCTCTGGCCATAGGATTGTAGGTTGGCACTCCCCAGATCTATGTCTAAAATCCATATATGAGAGAGTACATGCCATGTTTCTCTTTTTGTGACTGGGTTACCTCACTCAGGATGGTTTCTTTTAGTGTCATCCATTTGCCTGCAAATCTCATGATTCCATTATTTTTTTCTGCTGAATAGTACTCCATTGTGTAGATGTACCACATTTTCTCTATCCACTCTTCGGGTGAGGGACATCTAGGTTGCGTCCAAGTTCTGGCTATTACAAATAGAGCTGCTATGAACATAGTGGAACAGACATCTTTGTTGTATGAATGGGCATCTTTTGTATATATGCCTAAGAGTGGAGTTGCTGGGTCTTGTGGTAGGTTTATTCCCATTTTTCTGAGGAATCTCCATACTGCTTTCCAAAGTGGCTGAACCAGTTGGCACTCCCACCAGCAATGGAGGAGTGTCCCCCTTTCACCACATCCTCTCCAGCATAAATTGTCATTGGTGTTTTTGATTTTAGCCATTCTGACAGGAGTGAGATGGTATCTCAGAGTTGTTTTGATTTGCATTTCCTGGATGGCTAAGGATGTTGAGCACTTTCTCAAGTGCCTCTCAGCCATTTTAGACTCCTCTATTGAAAACTCTCTATTTAGTTCTGCAGCCCACTTTTTAATTGGGTCCTTTGCTGTTTTGGAGACTTGCTTCTTGAGTTCTTTGTAAAT